TTTCATTAAAATTAATTTTAAAAAAGGAAAAACTAAACAGATAAAAGAAATTCTGCTGACAATAGGAGACTGAGCAGAAGAAATACAAATTCCAAGTGTAATCAGCAGTGTCCAAAGTAAAAAAAAACAAACCAAAAACCACACCAAAAAGCCCACACAAAACCAAAACAAAAAGTAGCTAAAATAATCAACATGAAATCTCACCACTCACTTTTTTAATAATATTTTTTATGTCCATTGTGATTTTAACAAAGGTTTACAGAAAAGATGGACGTTTCAATTATGCTTCTTTTAAGAATACCTTGTTTTCTAACAGAATAATGTTATTAAATATTGAAACATCAATTGGTACAGGAATTGAAGGGTTAGTGCTTAATACTCTACTGTTCCCAGGAAAAATTACCTGAAAACTCTACTTCTCTATTTACTTCTAGTAGATTTCAAAGAAATGGCAGTTGGTACAGAGGAGTTAATAGGTGAACTAGACCTGTTTGTTCTCTTGGTGGTCCATCAAGACACTTTTGAAGCACCACAACTCAAAGGCATCAATTCTTTTGCCATCCTTAGTGATTATCCAGCTCTCTTGATGCATAGCAAGTAATTACAAAGACCATGGCCTAGATCAGGAGCATATTGTCCCTAGACCTATATCATTACTCTTTTGAACTTCAGAGAGGTCCCTGATAGCAGACTTCCCCAATCCAATTCAACTTTTGATTTTCTAACTGCTACTGTCAAGTGGATTGATTGTGGAGTCAAGAAAGCTGAAATTGTTAACAACCTCAGTCTCTTCTCCATTTATCATGGTGGTGCCTATTAGCCCAGTGGTGAGAATCTTTGTCTTCTTGATGTTGAGCTTCAGTCCATATTGAAGACTACAGTCCTTGGCCTTCTGGAGCAAATGCTTCAACTCCTCCTTAGTTTTGGCAGGCACAGCTGTGTCATCTGCATAACCCAAGAATCTGGCATTATGATAGGAGTCTTCAGTTTTGATGCCACATTCCTCTGATCTGTTCTGCATACAGATTGAACAGTTATCAAGACAGGATGCATCCTTTCCCATTTTTGAACCATGTAGTGTTTCCTTGCACTGTTCTGAGGACTCTTTCTTCTTCCAAGTATAGGTTTCACATGAGCACAAACAGGTGTTTTGGGTTCCCTTTCTTCTCAATGTTAGCCACAATTTGTTGTGATCCCCACAGTCAAATGTCTGTGCATAGCCAGTGAAACACAGATAGACACTCCTCTTGTACTCTTTGCCTTCAGCTAAGATCTATGATATTGGTGATAATGTCATTGGTGCCGTGGTCTCTTCTAAATCCAGTTTGTATTTCTGGTAGTTCCAGGTTAATGTACTATTCCAGTTGGTTTTGGATAATCTTCAGCAGGATTTTGCTTGCCTGTGATATTAGTGATATTGTTCAATAATTTCCACACTCTTTTGGGTCACTTTTTTTTCCTCGATGGGAATAAATGTGGATCTCTTCCAGTCAGTTGGCCAGAAAGTTGTCCTCCAGATTTCTTGGCACTGCCTGGTGAGCACATTGAGGGCAGCATCTGTTTGGTGAAATATGTGAATTGTTATTCCTGGGACCTTGGTTTTTTTCCAATTCCTTCAGAGCCGCTTGAACTTTCTCCTTCATCACCATTGCCTCTTGATTCATGAAATTCTTGTGTCAGCCAATTCCTTTTGGTACAGTGACTCTGTGTTCACCTTCTGTCTTCTTTTAATCGTCTTCAATCATTCAGTATTCTTCTATAGTATCCTTAAGCATTACAACTTGAGGATTGAATTTGTTTTTCAGTTTTTTTCAACTTGAGAAATGCTAGCGAGTTTGGACTTTGTGATTTTCAGACTCCAGCTCTTTGCACATTTCATTATAATATTTTGCTTTATCTTCTTGAGCTGCCCTTTGCAATCCTCTGTTCAGCTCCTTTACTTCATGCTGTCTTCCCTTTACTTTGACTTCTCAGGGCTCTGGTGCAGTATTCAGAGTCTCTACTGACATCCTTTTCAGTATTTTCTTCCTCCTCTATCTTTGCAAAGACCTTTTGCATTCTTTCTGGATAATATTCTTGATATACTCCCACTACTCATTTGATCTTCGTTTATTAGTGTTCAGGGTCTAAAATCTGTACCTGAGATGGTTTGGATATTCAGAAGAGATAGACTCAGGGTCAAATTTTGGTTCCTGTGGATTTTATTTCATTTTCTTTAGCTTCCGTTTGAAAGCATATGAGTAATTGATGGTCTCTTCTACAATCAGCACCTGGCCTAGTTTTCACAACTAATATTGAGCTTCACCAATGATTCTTTCCACAGATGGAATTGATCTTATTCCTATGCATACTGTCAGATGAAATCCATGTGTATAATCAAGCTCTGGTGGCCTAGTGGTAAGAAACTCTGCTGCAATTCGAAAAGCATGCAGTTCAAATCTACCAGCTGCTCCAGGGGAGAATGGGCACCTTCCAGAGGGTCAGATGTGGTTCCGTTTCAATTCAATGGTAC